GCCCACCCCCACCCACAGTCACACACTCCCCCTCTCTGCCTCTGGGTTTGTTTCTGTGATTCTTTCCTTTCCTTCATTCCTTCCTGCCTTCCTTCTCCACACACAGACAAAGGAGCATAAAACTTATGTGAAAAGCATTCTGGTTCCTCGGAGCTGATCACACTCTCTCACTGTTCTGTCAATACTCAGATGGCGTAYGAAATAAGGATTTGTTCCTTTATTTATCCGTGCGAGGTCAGAGGGCACAAATTGGATCCGGGTCTGTGTTGGAATCACCGTCAGTGGCTGAAACCTGAGCCAGTCCGACTATCAGAATAATGAGCAGGGTTAATTGAGTTATTTGGTGGTAGTTGAGCACTTCTAAGTTGTGCATAAGCTTTCACAGCTCTTCTGTGTGTGTAATCATGTGGGTATACAGGAAGACGCAAACAGCACGTTTTTAATTTTCGGGACTGAATTTCACAAACTCAAAGATAAAAAGTTTTCTGTTTGTCTTCCTAATTTTGACCAGACCTATATTTATTTCTAGTGCTTTATTTTGAAATACCCCCATTTGCTCAACTTTTAACTTTCATTACCTGTCAATTAGGTTTCTACAGGTAACATTTAGAACATGTAAGTGGAATATAATTTTATTAAACATACTTTAATAGATAGAATGTACATGTGTGTGTTTGGATAAGTAAATAAAAAAAGATTTGTTGTGGTTCAATCATCTTAGAAATTTTCATTTATCACTACAACAACTTTTTCTGTTACTTTAGTTTCAAAATAAGTAAAAATAAGGATTTAAAAGCAAGGTGGCTGTGTCTCAATTCGCTGCATTTGTCGGCTGCTTATGTCACTTCTCCACGCCGTAGGCTGTCCCAATTCGTAGGCATGCAGGCGACAAAACACCAAAAACTTAGGCTGCATCCGAGAATCCTACATCACCAACAGTATCCCAGATTTCCTTGCGCCGTCAGCAAATTAAACAGAAAAAACAATGTTTTTTTTTTCACACAGATGAATTTGGAAATTTACCACAGACCAAATAGTTTGTTTTTAAAAGCAAATTTAGCAACTTAGCTGATTAAACTTTTGTTGCAATGAGATGTTAAATAAAACACAGTTACAAGTGTTTTTTTCATGTATTTACTTGTAACGTTTTTCTAATAAAAGTGAATTTTGTGAAGTTATGACTTGGCTGTGGCCAACGTGGGCTGCAACCAATGAGTTGAGTCACAGTCAATATGTCTCCTTTAAGTRGGGACTTATTTTAACACAGTTTTTTTTAAGAAAATCAATTTTCACATTTTAAATATTTAGCATTTTAAGCAAAACCTAATTAGTACCACAGACCATTCCTCAACTGGACACAACAAGTTCAAACCTGTTTTCTTGAATAGAAGTCTAAATCATCCCATGGTACATCACGCCATCTGTTATGTCAACATTTTTACTTCTTGTKAAAGATATTTCTGAGCCAAAATCTTGAAATGATTTGACAACTGAAAGAAAGAGTCTTAATTGCTGCACTTTTCCATCAGAAAAGGTTCTTTGTTTGCAGGACGAGGCTGTAAAATATTTTAATCATAGAGTAAATTTAAATAGACATGAAAAAAATAAACTTCTAAGGTAGTGACTGGTTTCACAGCAGTATATTTCTATAAATCTACACCAATCTGRATCTTATGCACACTGTGATCAACTGCTGTGTAATACGGTGACAGACTGGTGCCACGTGACTCAAAACCAAACTATTCTTTAAGCTCTGTAGCCTGGAACAGAAAAAAAAAACAGAACAAAAAATAAAAATAAACAACTCAGAACATTCATCCTTCCTTAGAACAGAAGCATAAAGACTGGCAGCTATTTCTGACACAAATGTGATAAGAAGACACTTTGAAAACAGCAAAACAATATTAAAAGTTCACACTTCAAAGGGTTTCTTTAAACAGAAGCAAGTAATATTTTCCCAGCTTTGTGAATCTACTTAAATACTCAACATGACAAAGTTGTGCCTTAAACTTTATTCTTAAACTAGAAAGTGGAGAGTTAAATAAATTTTTAAAAAGGCACTTTTTATTTTGACCAACAATATATATTTAAGAAGTGTGCAAATACAAAATGGATACACGAAACTCAGTTTGCAATCTGCTTTACTGCCTTCAAATTGGATCCTGTTCTTGTCAGTGTTGGAAGTTTTCCTTTATGTTGACAGCAAAAGGTGATAACTGGATTTAGAAGCACAGGAGTTCAAACTYTCCTCCACTTGCCTTTCTGGCCAAAGGGCAACGCCCTAAAAAGTTATCATTTTTATGTAGAATTTCCAAGAAGCTCTTATCATTTACAGAACGGATATGGYTGAGTGAAATGCGCTCACCTTGCCTTGCTCCACTAGAGAGAAAAACTTGTCCACTTCTTTGTTGAAGGCAGTAATCTTGATTTCTCCCTGTTGACCCAAATGTTTCATTGAATGAATACAACAGAGGGGGGAAAATCTAGTCATGTGTAACATACAGCATATTGGCATGTTACAGGCAAAAGTTAAGACCTTTCTACTTACACTTTCATCCAGTATCTCAAAGGAGAAGAGCTTGCCCTCCCCTCTGGAGTTACTCCAGGTACGGATATTAGCCTTGTTTGTGACTCTGGCTCTGATAGTCCACCTGGGGATAAACAATACAGAGAGATTAGTGATGGTGAATCAGTGCTTTAACAGTAGATCTGAACAAAAATTGCAATACTGGGGTATTTAAAAAAATACCTTTTTTTATTTTCACAATAAAATGATTGGTTCACACAGCAAAAATTTTTAATTGTCAGTTGATTTTCAAAACCTGAGAGACTGCACACATGACAATAAAATAAATCATAGATATAACAGGTTTGGTCATGTTGCAAAGATGATGCACCACTCTGTCTCTAACAGTCAGGCCGGAGGGCGTTGGTGACTGTGGTTCTGTATTTTATACGGTCTTTCTCAAGCTGCAGGAGGCCGATACGTGTTGTGRCCTTAAACCGTCTCAAGCTGTCAACTTATTCCTCTGTCCACTTCTTCCTTTTATTTTTCCAGTTGATACAAGATGGTGTGTCCAAAACACTGGCCTGTCCCAGCATGATCTTTTTGTAAAGGGAGCTTGTTTTAATTTGCTCGTCATTGGTGATTCTGTTGGTGTTCGAGATCTTGAGCATTCTTCTTCTAACACACACACAC